TCTCTCTCTCTCTCTTCCCCTTCCCCTCCTCTCTCTCTCTCTCTCTCTTTCACTCTCAGCTGTTCTGGTAGCGAGGATAATGCCGGAAATTAATATTCGTAAGTTAGTTTACGCGGCGGATCTGGTCATCATGGTCGACGGATCTGGAAATAACGAGGCGCGAAGCCGCAGGAATTTCCGATAGCAAGATAATGGGAAAAAAGGCGGTGCTCAGACGGAAGTGAACCCAGGAATACAGAACAGGATATTCTCGATGGCAACGAGGAGATATATAAAGCGATATCACGTCGTTAAAAACATTATTGTTGAAGACGACTCTGAGTGGCCATTCCGCGATCATGAAGCTGCTCGTTGTTCTCGCCATGCTAGCTTACGCCTCGGCCAACACACTGCTGTCTATCTACGGAGAGCCTACTTACGAACTGGGTAAGCAAAGAATAGTTTTGTGCAATATTATAAAGATGTAGCCAGATAAAAATTTGAAAGTGATTTTGTCGGGCCATCAAATTTGGACGTTCAAATCAGTCGCTAAAATATCAAAAATTTTTGCAGTATTAACATTGTGCTTTTTATTATTTTTTTTTTTATTTTATTATTATGTAAATGTCCTACGAAATTATTTTGATGATCCAGCAAAATTATTTTCAAATCTGTACTTATTCAAATTTTTCCAAGTACATCTCATCAAGAAAGATCGAACGAATAAATTTTCGCGAGTTTAAATGTCGGCGAAATTTTCCTGATAACGAAGCGATCTTAATAAGCCGTGATTGATCCCAAGTAGTTTTCGCTCCGCCAGAGATTTATTCACTGGGATATCAAATTCGAGTACACAACATTAAGATATTTTTCATCGATAATTAAAAATAATGAATCTCACTTCGTCGAGCATTATACGTTATAACTTCAATTCATCATAATAATATTATGCGTTGTAACTCTCTTCATTTTCCCGGAAAGCGTTCTATGATGTAACGGGACGAAACTTTCCAATAGGGTAATAAATATCCAGAATGCTCTACCTCTTTTGTCTTGCGCTACATAATAGTGTAGCATACACACACACACACACACACACACACACACACACACACACACACTACACACACACACACACACACACACACAC